CTGGTGACAACCTGTGTTCAGCCATGGGCGTATCCTCCTTGACTTTCTGACACCTTGCTCTCTTGCTTTGCTTCCTTATGCTCTTTCTCCATTTGCTTCCTGGTGGCCTTTTCTCTGTTTATCCCATACAAGTTGAGTTTCCCTGTATGTGCTCACCCTGCCCATGGCTTCAATGACCACCTATGGGCACATGACTTCCAAATACCCTAAGCTGTAAGTCCACTGGGTACATGGCTGCTGGTGAACTACCCACCAGGTTTGCTCTCGACGGAGAGGTGATGTGGTCATCATCTCCAAGACCTCTGTCTCCCTAGCCCCTTCCTCCAGCCTCAGCCACCATCCAAGAGCTTTGTCCTTTGTCCATGTTGTCCATTTCTTCCCAATTTCACCACCATCTCTAGGTTCATACCTCATTGCTCAGCTTCCTCAAACATGCCCTATACAGTCTGTTCCTGGTTTTCTGAACAATATCTGATTTCATTGCCTCTGGGCCTTTTTGCATGCTTTACCAACCCCCTCACTATGCGCAAATTCCTAGCCTCAGCTATTTCCTTCTAGAAGTCTTCTCTGACTAGGCAGGGTTCAAGCCCCTCCAACACGCCCTGTGTTCGGACCACATATACTGTGGAAAACTGGTCGCCTATTGGCCTGTTGGACCCAAGATCCCCTAGGGCACAGAGTCTTAGGCAGTGTTTGTTGAATAAATACAACAAATTCTGCTTGTAGCCGAAACTCCGCTCCCATATCTCTGGACCTTCTCAGCTTTTGGCTCCCCATCATACACGGGCCACTGAATTTCCTTCCATGATAGGTGAGCTTGGGCAAAACCCTGCCCCCACCCCCCCAAGGCCCCAGGCTGTTAGCCTACCTGCCCTGCTCTAAGCCTGAAACTTCCTGGAAGGAGAGGATGCCCCTAAACTTTTCCATCCCAAGTTGTATGGCAGCTAGGTTGCTCCTGGGACCAAGACTCAGCCTTCGGGGAGACTTCCACATCTCATCATCAGGAGAAACCTTCAGGAAGAGTATGGACATAGCAATCTCTTATTCCCCGGTTGGGGCCCTACTCAGGTTAAGACCCACTCCTGTAGGGAACCCCAAAAAACCCATAACCTCCATACTTACAAAGATGAGCATATTGAAGAGGATCATCATGACCTTAATGAAGCTGAAGCACCCCATGGTGGCTCCTGGGAGGCAGACATGTGGGAATTAGGATCGCACTCCCTGCCCGCTTCCACCAGCCTGGACTGACATACCAGACTCCAGCATCCTGGATTCACATAGTTACCAAGCTTCTCCTGCCTCTGGACTCTGACGCCTCAGGACTTTCCCCAGTTCCCATTCTGACACCCCTAACCCTCTGTACTGCCCAAGCCCTCTACTAACACTTGACACTTTGACATTCTAACATCCTACCTGCGTGCATCCCACAGGCACCCCAACCCTGATTCCCCCGCTTCAGGGTCACTCCATGTCCTTACCTGGCTCCTGCTTATCCTGGACTTTTGACTCCCCCCACCCCAGACCAATCCTAGACTCTTCCAGGACCCTCCCCGTGGCCCTTTCAGCTCCCCAAACCTGTTTCCAGATTGCTGTCTCTTCGCAGGAGAGTCTCTATCCTATGCCATCACCTGGTCAGGGGTCCTGGTGGTCAGTTCTGCAAGACGGATCTGCTGAGGCTCCAGAGGGGATCACAGCTCCGGGGGAACAACCACTGAGTGGGCAGGCGGGAGACAGCACTGGCTCTCACGGCACTGCTCACCTGTGGGCGGGGCAGGAGCTTTAAAGGCTCCTTCTGCCCGCCCCCTCACACCCTGCCCCGGTCTGGCCTGCCCCTGCTGCCCCCTGCTGCTGGCCGCTCCCTCCCCACAGCCCCAGCAGCCTCAGGCCTCCGCCTGGCAACGCCAACCACAGCAACACCCCTCCTGATCTGAGTAAGACAGCTGTCTGGGGCTGAGGTGAGCAGCCCCCCAGAACCGTGTGCCTTCCACAGCAAGGCACAGTTGCTTCCTAAGCTGCACCTGCTGAGACGGCTGGACACACCCTACATGCTCGCAGGTACACACACCTGCCCAAGCTGTATATTCACACCCACATACACACATCAACTCCTAGTGCTCTCGAATGCACACTTGCACAGGCACACACACCTGTGAACTCTGTGTGGGCTGACTCCTAGCAACAATCCACAGAGCAACCTCTGAGATACATACTGAAACTCTCATACACACACACACACACACACACACACATTCATACAGGCATGCCCACACATGCTTTCAAGGAAGTAACCAAGGGTTGATATTTTCTGCCACCTCCTCTGAGTGGCAAACAAACAACTCTTCCTCTTTCTCCCTCCACGAAACTCCAACCCATCTTTTCCCTCCCTGCGTCTTTCCTCCCTCTCCCTCCCCACACTTTTTCTCTCCTCAGTCCTCTCAGCATTCTGTATACACCCCTTCCATTCCTGCCAGCAGAGGGCACCATGGTCCCACAAAAGCACTGTCCACCCCTGAAAGTTCCGCAGCTCTGTTATACCCATCTTCACGAATCCTTTCCCGGCTGCTGATGTCGAGCTGCTGGGAAAGTTCTGGCTTTTAAGTCACTCAAGCCAAGTGCTCCAATCCTGGTTCTGTTGCTTATTAGCTGTGTGACCCTGGGGGCATTTCTTAGACTTAGATTTGAGCCTCTATTTCCTGATCTGTATAACAGAATAGTTATGGGATTTTAAGATGAGATTAAAAATGAGATTTTTTCTTCCCATTCTGGGACATAAGGGAATGACCACAGAGTGAAAAGTTCAGAACAAGGAGAGTCACAGCCAGAGGGGGTGTGGGGTGGAAGATTTTTAATTTGTTTTTATAATGGGAGGAGGCAGCTGAAGAGACACAAAAGAGAGGAAGGCTGTTAACATGAATATTTGTACAGATGTGTTTTCAATGTGTAACTTACATCGTAAGTTTTTTTTCACCTTTCACAATAATCCTATAAGATTCTCTTTTCATCTGCTTTTTCAATATGGGGAAAGAGAGATAAAAGTTAAGTGCACATTTCTGAATGAATGAATAAATGCAGAATATGCTGTGTGCTCGGTTGCTCAGTTGTGTCCAACTGTTTGTGACCCCATGGGTTGTAGCCCACCTGGCTCCTCTGTCCTTGGGATTCTCCAGGCAAGAATACTGGAGTGGGTTGCCATTTCCTCCTCCAGGGTATCTTCCCGACCCAGGGATTGAAACCAGTGTCTCCTGCAATGACAGGTGGATTCTTTACCACTGAGCCACTTGGGAAGCCTTGACTGTAGAATACAGGAGTTAAATGTCTGGGCTTTGGACCTTGGCCATCCCAGATTTGAATCCTTGCCTGCCTCTAGTTGTGTGACTTCACTTAACTAAGCCTGGGTTTCCTTGTACAGTCGATTTTCATCATTCATGAATTTCACATCTGTGAATTTACCCACTCATAAAATGATCTGTAACTTCAGAGCACACTCATGGCACTTTTGTGGTCATTCATGTACATGTGCAGAGCAGCAAAAAAATTCAAGTTGTCCAACATGCTTGTTCTCAGATAAGATTGAACAAGGGGATGCTCTGCATTCTTGTTTTAGCTCTCATAATATAAATGAGTCTTCTTTGTGTGGTCTACTTATTGTCTGTCACTTTTTTGCATTTATGTGCTTTTTGTCAGTGATTTTGCTATTAAATACCCGCCTCCAGCATAATGCTGAAGTGCTCTCTAGTGTTCCTAAGTACAAGAAGACTGTCATGTGCCTTATGAAGAAAATACTTGTGTTGGATAAACTTTATTCAGGTACATGTTATAGTGCTATTGGCTATGAGTTCAATGTTAATGACATCAGTATATTTTAAATGAAGCACCTTTAATAGAAACACACATAAATTAGGTTATTGGTTAGTTGACAAGATATTGTTACCAGGACTTGGTATGAATCTAATCTTGTATTTCTCCTGGAAGCATTGGCTAAATATTTGCTAATACCGTGATTGTGGTGACTGTATTAGAACATAACTACCAAGAATAATGAAATTAGAAGATGCTTGCTCCTTGGAAGAAAAATTATGACCAACCTAGACAGCATATTAAAAAGCAGAGACATTACTTTGCCAACAAAGGTCTGTCTAGTCAAAGCTATGGCTTTTCCAGTAGTCATGTGTGGATATGAAAGTTGAACTATGAAGAAAGCTGAGCACGGAAGAATTGATGCTTTTGAACTGTGGTGTTGGAGAAGACTCTTGAGAGCCCTTTGGACTGCAAGGAGATCCAACCAGTCCATCCTAAAGGAGATCAGTCCTGGGTGTTCATTGGAAGGACTGATGCTGAAGCTGAAACTCCCAATACTTTGGCCACCTGATGTGAAGAACTGATTCATTGGAAAAGACCCTGATTCTGGGAGGGATTGGGGGCAGGAGGAGAAGGGGATGACAGAGGATGAGATGGCTGGATGGCATCACTGACTCGATGGGCATGAGTTTGAGTAAACTCCGGGAGTTGGTGATGGACAGGGAGGCCTGGCATGCTGCAGTCCATAGGGAAGAGTCGGACACGACTGAGCGACTGAACTGAACTGAACCACGGATAATTATAATCGACTGTATGTGAAATAGGAATAATGATAGAATCTCCTTGTAGGGTTGCTGTGGGATTAGATGAGGTAATGTTTGTGAAGGACTTGGCACCATATCTGGCACATAGTAAGTGCTCAGTAAACAATGTTAATATTATTAACATTGGATGAGTGAAAAGGTGAAGGAGTGAATGTTTTACTCAGAGCTCCTTTCCCAAGGGGCTAAACTGAAGTTTTCTGTCTCTGGGGCTGGATCCCTGGAGGGAATTGTGAGGGAGTCAGACCCTTAGGGAGGGGCTGGGGACCAGGATCTATAATAAAGAGCATCACTCTTACACAAGCTCTGTATGTCATAGAGGCCTCATTGCCTTGGCCAGTAGCACCATCAGGCACTTTACAGAAGCTCACTGCGCCCATGGGGCCTTCTCAGCTTGTCCGTGCCCCTCGGTCCCGGGGCTTAAGTTCCCCCTACCGTAGGGCAGGCGTGGGTTGGCCTCGGCCCCGCTTTCCCAAGATGTTCAAGTGTAGCCGCAGAAGGTACCGGCAGAAACGACAAGGCCCAGCTGGCACCACTGTAACCATCAATCTTGCCACTGTGGCCACGGATATCAACGACACCCAAACTGCTACCACCAGGGTGTTGATCCTTCCACTGCAAGGTGGGCTGAGGGCCCTGAGCCAGGGTGGGGTGGCGTGGGGGAGGAAAACAGGGCCACTGAAGTCCTACCCACGTGAGCCCTGTGCAGGCACTCTAGGGGACACACCTTCTGTGAATTATCGCCCCAAGGCATGGTGGGGTCTTGGCAGGCACCCCGCCTTAATGGAGGAGGACGTGTTGGCTGAAGTGGACAGCTTGGGAAAATGGGAGAGTCTAAGAGCAGTGGAGCTTCCTCACACTTTTTCCTCTCTCTCCTCTCCTCAGTTCTCAGACACCTCTGTCAACCTGGCAGCTTTCTGATCCTCTAGAAACATCCAGAAACTAGTCCAGAAGCTTGGCTGGCTCCGGACCTTCATCTCCTCAGGGCCACGGGCAGTGAACAGCAGACAAATACAGTCCTTTCTGCTCCAACTACTTTCCTCCTCTCCCAGGTGCTTCCAGCTGACTATAGAGGTTATGAGGGTAGGGCTAGGGCTGAATGCTCCCAGGGATAGGCTTCAGCGGCAGCAGCAGGCATCACAGGAAGACATTGGAAGGACAGAACAAGGTCAGCAACACATACCATCTTTGACTTCAGCTTTTGCTCTGGCCTATGAGGTGGGGGTCCTTCCTGCCTTGCACTCCCATCAGAACAGGGAAAAGGGTCTCCATAGACATCTTGGAAGGTATAGGGACCTGGGTCGTTGGGGAGAAGGGTAGAGGCATAAATCAGAAAAAGATGGCATGAAAGACAGATTGCACTGCTCCAGTGTAATGAGTGCCTGAGTGTGAGGTGTATGTGCCTCTGTGTGCTGTGAGGGTCAGTGTGAGTGAGACGGAGAGAATGGAGGTTGAAGCAGATGTGGCTGAGTGTGCCTTTGCGATGAGTGTGTATATGTGGCCAGCTGTTTGTGTCAAGGTGTGCGTGTGTGAGGGTATGAATGGGCCAGGGAGGCAGGCGTCTGCTCCACCAGGAGGAATGAAGGTCAAGAGGGGGATGGGGTCACCCAGAAGTAGGAAAGGTTTAGCTTCCGAGGGGGTGCACCACCTTCAGCCCCCACAGCCATTCTCTGAGGTTGGTATTTTCCCGGACTAACAGCTGAGCTGGGGCATTTGGGGGTGGGGCGAGACTGAGTTAGCATCCAGGAAGGGGGAGGGTGCTAAGCACTCAGGCCTGGGGATTTTCCATTTGGATTTCTGCGTGTGCGCCCATGTGTCATCGGGTGTAACTGGGTTTCTGTGGGGTGTGTCTCCGTGGAGTTTGTGTCTCAGAGGCAGGAAACACTGTGAGGGATTGTCTCTCATGTGTCACTTTATGCACAAGTGAGTGAGTGTCCCAATGTCCCAAGGTCTGGCTCCAGTTCCAGGAGGGTGGGGGTGGGAGTGAACTGTGAGACCTCTGGCCTGGCCCCCTGGGAAGCCTGTGAGGAGAAAATGAATTGTGTCTGCTTTCCTCCACTCTAAGGCTTGCCAGAGACTGGGTGGGACCTGAGAGGAGGAGGGGGACATGCCAGTGCCCAGACTATACTGGTGGAGGATGAGGCTTCTTGGGGTTTGGGGAGAGGTGCTGAACCCCCAGTCAGAGCTGGAGGCTGACTAGCTAGTGCCCAAAGCCCGCATGGATGCCCACACATATAAAGACATGTGACACAGTCCAGGAACTCATGCAGACATATAAACACAACTGGTACTCACAGATAAACAATGTAACAAATTCACACCTGCATGCAAGTACATGCCAAGTACACCCCTATAAACAGATATATGCACTGACACAAATACATATAAACCTTCCCACCTGACACAGGTAACAACACACACATGCCTACAAATGAGCACACACACACAAACATGCATGCACCTGGTTACAGCACACAAGCATATAGACTGACATATGCAATCCTGCTCATGCCAACACAGGCACACACTCATGCAAACACACTCACCAGACTTCCCTGTCCCTGTGGCCTTGGGACCCAGAAGCCTCCCTTCCCCTATGTGAGACAGTGTGTGTTTAGTGGGGGTGTATGTGCATGCCCACCCTTGTGTCTCTGTGTATCTGAGGCTGTGAGATTGTGTGTGTGTGCACGTGCGCGTGTATGTGTGTGTGTGTGTGAGAGAGAGGGGGTTGCTTAGCTGTGGGAACCGGATGACATCATCTCTTCTGGCTATTTTTAGTTTCCTCTGCAATGACGGCTCCTTCACTGCCCCTCCCCCGCCAGGTTCCCAACTCTCCTTCCCCTTCAAGCTCCCAGAGACAGCCACAGCCAATGGTCCCCTTCATCCTAAGTCTAGGTGATCCCCTGGATCACTAATCCGGTTCACTCTCTCCCACCCCAGTCATGGCTCCCTGGAAGCTGAGAACACCGGGCTCCCAGGCCAGAGGAGGAGACTCGGGCAGTATGGCAGCCTGGAGAAGGGGCCTGGGTTAGGTGAGCTGACCTGGCTGGTCTCCAGCCCCTAGGGTGCCTCTCCTTCTGCTTTTCAATCTGAAATAGTGTCTCGGTCAGTAGTGCCTGCTATGTGCCAGGGAGGATGCCAAGTTCTGGGGATAGCGCAGTGAGCATGACCGTGGGAGTTCTTCCTGGTTAGAGCTGCAGCTCGGTGGGAGACAGACATTAAACAGAGCACACAGGTGCAGCCCTGAGCTGCAGCAAGGGCTCTGAGTTGGTAACGAGGGCATTCAGGCTGGAATGATGGTCTGTCTCTCATAGAGGTGACCTGAGGAAACCTGAGGGACACATTCCCTTTACCTTATACCTCTCACCCCAACCACCACACCTCCAGAATTCCACCAAACCCTGCTTCCTTCTCTCACCTCATGCTGTGCTCCCAACACTGTACCAGCCCACCATCCACCTGGTGGTCCACTGCTATTTGTGGCTCTTTTCTTTGGAGCGTCCCCACAGTTGATCCCTGGGAGGCAGAGCAGTGTTCCCCACCTATAGATGAGAAAGCTGAAGGCCAGAGAGGAGTAGTACCAGACCACACCTGCCCCTGCTCAGGGAGCAGCCCAGAGAAGATGGCAGGCAGGTGGAGGAGGAAGCGGTGGTGGCACTGGTGTAGAAGAAGCAGGGGATGACATCAGGAGGTGGGGGAGGGGATGCCTGTGGCCTGAGGGACTCATGCCTGGAGGAGGGCTTCCTGCTTTACCCAGCCTGGGGCAACCACTGGAAAATCGGGTTTGGCAGCTTCAGCTGGGCCACAGGGCTGGAGGAGAGGTCTAGACCACAGGGAGGTGGCCTGGAGGCGGGCCTATCCTCTAGCATGGAGTGTGGCCAAATGGTCTCATTGGCGGAGCATTTTATAATACTGGGACCCCTTGGAGAGTGTGGGCTGAATTCAGGAGCCCAGAGGTTCCATTCTTTGGTGTGACACTTAGAAACTCCTGCCCCTTTCTTGGCCTCAATGGCCCCTCCCAGAAAGTTGCTCTGGAGGATCAGTTTCTCCACTTCCAACTCCTGCCCTCCTAGGAGGGCAACTCCTGTTTCCTGGGAGTCTGACTCAGGCACAGGAGCACAAAGCCAGTGGGTAGGGGCTGACCAGACAGCCCCTAGGGCGCCAGGTTGGAGGTCCCTTGTCACCAGTGGGTCAATGGCCGGAAGCCCAGCTCCAGCCCCACAATGCAATACCGGTCACCCCACCCTTACCAGTGCCCTCACCCACACCCCCAGTTCCAGCCTCTGTTGCTTCCTCACCTTCAGGGAAAGCTGCAGGGCTCCCTTGGGGATCTCCCATATCTCCTTCACTGGCTCCCTGCCCTGTGCTTAACCCTCCCCCTCTGCCCATTTGAGCAGGCCAGTCTCCCAGTAAACTTTCTTTTCCTGGACCTTCAGGCAGTCCAGGGAGGAAAGGAAGCTGGGTGGGAGGGCTGTAAAGGAGCCTGCTTTTTCTCCTGCCCTCAGATGTTGTTGTTCAGTTGCTAAGTCGTGTCCAACTCTGCAACGCCATGAACTGTAGCATGCCAGGATTCCCTGTCTTTTACAATCTCCTGGAGTTTGCTCAGACTCATGTCCATTAAATTGGTGATGCCATCCAACCATCTCATCCTCTGTCATCCCCTTCTCCTCTTGCCCTCAATCTTTCCCAGCATCAGGGTCTTTTCCAATAAGTTGGCACAATGGGTGGCCAAAGTATTGGAGCTTCAGCTTCAGCATCAATCCTTCCAATGAATATTCAGAGTTGATTTCCTTTAGGATTGACTAGTTTGATCTTGCAGTCCAAGGGACTCTCAAGAGTCTTTCCCAACACCACAGTTCAAAAGCATCAGTTCTTCGGTGCTCAGCCTTCTTTGAGAGGTTTGGGGGAGGTGGGTGGACTGAGTGCATGAGCCTAAGACTGAGCTTCCCAGGGCATGTCTCATACCTGGCAGCCCCAGGTGAAGTAGGAATGCTACCCTTGACCCATCCAGCTAGCTTCTTCCTCTGCCTTCAGCAAATTCAGAGATAAGAACCTAGAGCAGATATTTGCATCCTCTGGAGGACAAACAAGAAACTCATGCCAAGTGAATTCTGACTGTTGTCATCATGTCAATGACAAATTTACGAAACAAAAATCACAAAATTCTGGATGCATAGAATCCGTAGTCACAGAATCTTAGCATCACAGAATTCCAGCATGGTGCAATGCAAGTAAAAGCATCTTAGAAACACAGAATTCTGGCATCAGTGAGTCCCAGATGACAAGGCTAGAGTGTCCTTGAGATGGAAGTCTTGAGAAGTCAATTAGTAAAGGGTGGAGGTCTAAATCTGGGGATTCCCCATTGGTGATGCGCACAGTAATTCTCACATGAACTTGAAGGAGGAGGCAGAGCTTGGGACACATGAGTTTAGTTAGGATGAGGAAACACACCTCCAATAAACAAGACAGAAGACAGACCTCTTTCATAAGGACACATTCCTTGTTCCTGAGGGTGAGGGGAGTGTAGTGGCAGTGAGGAGAGAGGGGAACTACATAAACAAAGAAAATACAACCTAAAGAAAAGATCAAGTAGCAAAACACACTGGCCCTAATGCCTCCAGC